ATTGCTATGCTTAAATCATACTCCAGTTAACATTAATTTATACTGTCACACTTTATCTTTCAAATTAATGCTCAACAATAAAGTATACAAGAAGAGAAGATGATCTAACAAATACAAACAGAAAATTAGCAAGAGTAATAAAATAAGAATTTTTTAAAGGTATCATCTGATCTTTGTATTCACTTGAGGGTGTAGTCCATAGTTAGAGCAGAAATAACTATGGCTCTGTCTTTGCTGATATATCAGTTCACACCTAAAAAAAAATTGAATTCAAAATTCAATTTCCTTACAAAAGGAAATAACCAATAGCCATATGTACTCTTCTATGAGGATATAATGAATGAAGAAATCAAACATTACTATTTCTATGCCTCCATGATTTTGTGTTGATCTCAACACTATAGAAGAAAGGCAGAAAGCAAAACAAAGGCAAACCTGGTTCTTTCCACCAACCAAATCAGTTGAATACCTCTTTGGACAAAGTGACAGCAAGCAGGACACAAGCTAAGAGATTGGTAGAGAAATAAACAATGACAATACATACCATTTCCCTATTGTTTACTTATCTTAATCAATCTAATTCTAGTATTGTTTTGTGAGTTCTGATAATCAGCATTTGTTTTATTCTAATAGGCTCTACTTATTTCATCTTTTTACTGCAAGAAATATTAATAAAAGCTATGTGAGTATTTTCAGGATATATGGAGCAATCTTAAAATCCAAGCTTATTTCAAAGAAATGTTAACTCAGTTTCAGACAACATTCTGAAAAGGTACAAACAATGGAAATATGCAACAAGAGTATTAAATATTTTAAAAGTACATCAAATCAGTTTGAAAATGCTTATCTAGAATGTTCTTAAGAAAGGGTTGTTCTGTCAACAAGCTTGATTCAAATAAGCTTCCAAAATTTGTTTGCAGACTGACTTTTAGAATAGAAAATAAGATTAACTAGGACAATATGTGGCATAATGAAATTGGCAAAAGTTGTATATTGACTGTTCTAACTTTGAAAAATCTTTAGATCAGGTGGGAATCTGACACTCAAGGTAAAATAAACAAATTTAATGGTTTAGTACTGTCTTTAATCTTCCAAGACAGAAAAATTATTTAAGGTGAATCAACAAAACCATAAAAGCTAAAAATAGTATCTTTGAAAGTATGAAGATTCTTAGGGAGCCAAGCCCAAGATTTTCTGAGATGTGGACTATAACTCCAAATAGTTTTGGACTAATGAAATTTAAATTTATAATAAACATCCCTCAACAAGAAAGGGTTTTCATTTTCTTCAGAGTAGACATCACCAATTTTACATCAATTGATTTCTCATTAAACTTATCAGCACAATTAAAGGTATTTTTCTTAAATTTTCAAGGTAATTTCAAAATAGACATTTACAATTAACTAATGACATTTTAAATAGAAAATAATTTAACAGGCATAAAAAAAAAACATTTTTTTTTTAAAGAGAACATTTTAGAGCAGTGTCACTAAGTGCAAAGACACTATTTTTATGTTCCTATCATTAGATATGTTAGCTAATATATAAATTGCATTTTCTGTAACATTAATAACTAGTTATAAAAAAGTTACTGATATTTCATTATAAATGACCTTATTTTTTTGTTAAATATTTAAGGAAGTGAAATCAAGTTTTGAAAGTTGCTTTCTGATAAACTAAGCAGAATTAAAGTTCCAAATTTGTCATTCCATTATTTTCAGACAAAGATTTTCAAATTGAAGAGGTAGGGAAAAATCCTTTTCATCTATTTAATACACATAATAAAAACTGATATATCATTTTTTTGTATAGATGTATATATCTGTAGCACCAATAGCTGTAAAGATTTTGGGTCATTTTTTTTCATTGATGCACTTATATAAAAACATTAATTAAAAACAAGTTTTGTGTGATTTTACATTAGCCTTAATAATTGTTAAAACTAATACAAGTATCCAGAGGTAAGTTATTAAAAAAAAAAAAAAGAAGAATATCAATAACCAATATAACTTGTATTTTTCAGTTTGAAGAGAAAAAAGCAGGCTTTGAACTTAGTTGTTTCGGGGGGGGAGAGAGGAGTAAATATTGATTAAAAAAAAAAAAAAAGGAAATTAAAAAAGAAAAAATGTGAAAGAGATACAAATTAAAGGCCTTGCCAGGAGTAAATTTGCAAGAAACAATCTTTAAAACTGTTCTGTAAATATTTTTCTTATGATTAGAAATCTATAATTTATTTTTTAAAAATATGAAAAAGCACTGTTTAAAAAATACTTTTGACAAAAACAAAAAAATAACTTGACAATTTCAGTTATGTTCATCTGTTGGTTAGGAACAAAAAAAAAACAAAGTGAATTCAACTTGTAGACAGACTAGCCAATTTGGTGCAACTAACACACACACACACACATCCATGATAAATGGTATCATTTCACCATCACAGCTACTCTGAGTCTGACATCCACCTCATATTACATCCCCACAGTAACAGTGGCACATAGAGAGGTCAGAGAAAGTAAAGGTCTACACCACTGAAACAAACTTAATTAGAGCACGCGTGTTTTTATACTCATTTCTAGCTTGACTTAAATAAAATTGAATCTCACAAATCTCATTTTTGAATAATGTGGCAATTTCAAATCATTCAAACTGGAATTAAGACAAAATTATTACTTTTACTACTTTTGAGTAAAAATCAATCAGTTTAAAGCTTACTATGCATTGTAAGACAAATTTTTGAGTCTATAGCAAGTCTTGATTGTTACATTAAGCTTAACTTTTCTTAAAAAAACAAAAACAAAAAACTGCTTAATTAGCAAACCTTCAGATCCCAGCAATTCAAACACTGATTAACATGTTTCTGTAATGTGAGGCTATCCAATAAAAAAAAAGATTATGGTGTTGCAAGAGTGTACATTTTAACAGCTACAATAGTGTCAATGACAGTGCAAAGGAAGGATGTGTGTGTATATGGGAATACATCACCCATATTACTTATCCCATTCTAATCAGAATATAAAATTATAAATAAAATAATTTTATAATAATAAAAGTTAGAATGATGAAAATTCAAGTAAACTAAAGCATTTTTTACCTCTAGATCAAGACCTGTTAAATTGTCTAGAGTCAGATACAGACTAAGTAAGTTGATGTTTTTAAAAGCATATCTTTCTAGAGATAATGGTTATGAATAAGTTTTATTCAGAAGTCATTACATGTAAGTGTGTGGATGCACCGATTAACTTCAATACTATGTTTTGAATGATAAATATCGGAACTAGTAAACAAATATCCATGGGCTTAAATTAAAGGCATTTAGCAGTAAGTTTTATAATTTATTCTCTGGTAAACTGTACACATAAAATAATCTGTCAGACTAGCTTCTGTTCAATATTGCCATTTTAAAAGTTTATGCCATATACAATAATAGCAGAATGATAAAAATCTATTATACAGATTTTATTTATAATGTTGTACAACCTGGTTTTTAATCAAATACTATCCCAATAAGTCATTTATTATATTGTGATTATCAGGCAAGAAAATCCAATGATTTTACTTCATGGCATTTTTAAACAATCCCCACTTTGATACAGACCAAATATAATCATGCTCAAATTTTGTTATAAAGTAGGAGCAGGTTCACATCAAACAGCTATCTTGTAAATATTTAGGTATGTATGCTAACTTAGAGAACTAACCAAAGTGTTATCAGTATAAATACAGTGAAACCTATACAAGATATTCATATTTACATCACTTCCTTTAGTCAGTAGGACTAACTTGTTACAGCAATAAGTTAACTTAATATCACAGTAATTATTTTTCTTCTATTAATGCATCAGAGAGATAGGAACCCAGTGCAAACAATTTAAAGTCCTTTTTTATACAGATGGGACATGAGTTGTGCTTATAAAGTTTTAAACTTTTTAACAATACTCCTTTATCTGGTTAATAAAAAGAAATATAATGTATATCTGTAGAAAGAAAACTTACATATAATTTAATGATTTAGCAGCATTTTTGCTTCTACACTACAAACATGCATTAAATATATAAGCATCTTTTGAAATCATTTTGACTGTTAAAAATTCAGCAACAGCACAACCCATCACAGGTTCCTTGAATCTGAAAAGAAATAACTACTAACAAGACTTTAACTAATAACATGACTTTGGCATTAAATATCAAGAGATCAGGTGTAATGAGTGATTCAAACTCAACTTGTGTACATATCTGATGCATACTGAGATATTGAAAATAATTATACATGAAATCATTATGCTTGGATATTTATTAATATTGATCAAAAATACCTAGGGATTAGTATGCATTTCTCCTTTTACAATAAAAATCTATCAGGGATATTAGTAGCGTAACTCATAATCGTCATATTCAATATATACATACGAGGGAGAATGTGCTGCTCATACAAATGTACATTAATCTTAATATTTTATGCTCTGTAGGCATCTTAAGATTTACAAAATTTACACTGCTTGATGGAAGAACCTAAACTCGAGATCACTGTCGACAAACTCAGCCTGCAATCCTACACTAATATATTGCAAAGGCTTTGGCTAAACAAACATTAAGGCATGAGTTCTCCCCCTTGTTGGGCTGCAGCAAGGACAATTGGTTTTGCAAAATGAGTACTGGGATTAAGTTTTTTTTTTTTTTTTTGTGAGAGCCAAGGCAATAACTGGTTGGTTCTTTTTCCATTCTTTCAGACACAATACTTTCAAAATATTCTCTTTCACATACGCACAAACATACAATCTGAAATTTTGAGTAGAACAGAAACATTTTTGTAGCAGAGAGATAGATGTTACTTTTCTACCAAAAAAACTCACATAAGAGGAAGGTGGGCAGAAGGTCACAGTATTGGTAGTAAGAAGTTTACAGGAGAGTAGGAAGGGAAGAAAGAATTGATTACAAGAGTGGAGACAAAGAATAGGACCCATCCAGCATAGAGCCAATATCATTCAAGTCTTAACTTGTTTTCATTGCTCTCCCATGTCAGTGGTTTGCTGCTGTTGCTGGACTGGTGTTACTTGTTCTAGCTGACCCTCCGTGTCCATAGCCAAGAGTGCTGGTACAGTTTCTAGAGAGATGCTTTGTTCCCCTTGGAATTGCATTGTAGTCCCGTCTGGCTTCTGAATGATGATGATACCGTCAGCAGTTTGGAATATATTGGAGTGTGACACCAGTTGATCTGGTGTCACTATCTGTCCGGCTACACTGTCCTGGAAAATAATCTGACTCTGGTCAATTGAGCCCAGCACCCGTGCTTTCAACTCATTGTCTTCAGAATTCAAATGTCCCAAATCTAAAACACTGGCATTGGATACAGCCACCGTAATAGGCTGGGTGGGTTCCATTGAAAGGGGTACTTCCATCACAGTGTGCTCCACCCCAACTCCAGAAGTTGCTGTGGCAGCAGGAGCTTCAGCTGCCACTTCATCCATTTCCGATTGCATTTGAATTTGCGGAGAGGAACCACTGTGTTGAATTTGGGCAAGTTCAGTTAAAGGAGATGATGGCTCAGTAGCCATAGGTACTGCAGCCACCACAGAAGTCTGTGTTGGTGAGGGTGGGGACTGGGTCACAGAGACAGGGAGGGATACAGTTGGTGGTGTCTGTTGGTGAAGGGGGTTGGCTGCATCAACCAAGTCTACACTGTTAGTTCCAGACGGTGGTAGTGTGGGTTTTGGACTCTCAGATTGATGAACATTTGCCACAAGTGCTTCAGCGCTACTGGTTACCTTTGGTAGTGTCATAGTTGTTGTAGCCACGTGAGGCAAGACAGTTATAGGGGTCTGTGATGGTGGTGGTGGAGTAGGAGGATGAGGTAAGGGTGGCACCAGTTCTGCCGAGGATTGTTGTGTTGAGGGTGGGGCTGTTGAAACAACTCTGATTGGAAGCATGACTGTTGTGCCACTGGTGGCATTTGCAACCCCATTGACCAGTGGCGCTGTTGTAGTCTTGGTTGTGGTTGTTGTGGTGGTGGTAGCAGCAATAGAAGTGACAGATCCATTTCCACCCACAGTCCCTGCAAGTTGCACAACTGCTCCATTCCTGGCAGTTGTATTGTTTGTGAAATGTACTATTGTTCTGGTAGGAGCAGCAGCATTGGCACTACTAAACACCATTTTACTGTTGTTCTTTGTAGAGATTCTGGTCACACAACCACTGTTGGAAGCTTCGACCATTGGCCGGATATTATGGGTCTCTGATAGGGGTGTCCGCTGAGAGGGAGGAGGAGGGGGAGGGAGCTGGGACTGATTATTTGTACAGTCCACAACCGACCTTGTATGTGATTGCTGTTGTTGCTGGTTAGTTGAGCCAGGTAATGTCACAATGGAGTTTGCTGGAAACTGAGTTAAATCAGACAAGTCATTTGTATTCAGACTAACTAACCGTATTCGTTTACTTAGTGGCTGACTAACTAACTGCTCTTGAGTGACCAATTCAACTGTCCGTTTAGCAGTCTGACATGGAGTTCCACTCAGAGTTGAAGGCTCAGTAGTCAAGAGCTTATATTGGAATGTGTTGTTATCTTCATGAACAGGTATTTCCTTCACTTCATATGTTCCTGTGCTTAATCCCAATGCTTGGGCAACAATAGGATTTTGAATCTGAAATGGAAAAAGTTAAGTTGGATGATATGAATATCTTTCCTTCACACTACATTACTTAAATTAGAATAAGTTAATGGAATGCATAAATCAAATAAGTTAACAAATCAAACATTTACATAAAAATGTATATATCTGGTTGGACTTTATTTATAATATATTTATAATAAATCTTTTTGTAAAAAAAAAAAAATAAATAAATAAATAAATAAATTAGGGAGCTCCAAATTTGGAAAAAGGACATCAGTATTATGCAGTTATCAATGATATTGGTACAGTTTCAAACTTGACACTTGTAAATAAAGAAAAAGTACAGATACTTATTTAAAAAAAAGTTCAGGGATTGATTTGACACTGTATTCATATTAAGAACAAAACCTCTATTCTAAAATAATTAAAAAAAATAAATAAATAAATAATACTTTTTATCCTTACAAATGTCATGCTTAGAGGAAGGTCTAATGAATGCTAATCCACAAAAATTATGCCTTTCCCCAAATTAAGAAAAGAAAAAAAGCAAACCAGTTCACCCTCAGTAGTGCCAAAAATTTTCTATCTAATGTTATTGTAGAATGAAACTAGAATCTTAGTTTTTAAACAAGTATCTTAAAACATATAAATAAATAAAATGAAGATGTAAGCCAATTGCTAAAGATGTCTTGGAATATATATATATATATATATATATATATATATATATATATATATATATATATATATATATATATATATATATATATATACACATACAAGAAAGGCGAATAATCAGGTTTTATAAAGAATATTAAAAAATAAAGTCCTTCCTCCAAAACTAATTAACATCACAAACAAATGTGGACATTTTGAACACTAAATACTCTGACCTAATGTCAGGTTTTAGACTAGGTAATTTAAAACCACAAAGATATTACTTATAAATTTGATAAATTATGGCAGGTAGCATTTTTTAAAACTATGCTCAAGAATAAATGGATAGGTTAGAAAATTAATTTGTTTTTATAATGAAAAGAAAAAAAGGAGAAAAAGAAAAGAAGTGAAGAGAAAAGAAAAAGAAAACAGAAAAGAAAAAAAGAGAGAAAAGAGGAAAGGAAAAAAAAAAAAGAAAAGAAAAAAAAGAAAAAAAGAAAAAAAAAAGAAAAAAGAAAAGAAAAGAAGAAAAGAAAAAAAAAAAGAAAAAAGAAAAGAAGAAAAAAAAAAAAAGAAAAGAAAAAAAGAAAGAAAAAAGAAAAAGGAAAAAAGAAAAAGGAAAAAAGAAAAAGGAAAAAAGAGAAAGAAAAGAAACGAAATAAGAAGAAAAGAGAAAAGAAGACTGGAAGAGAAAAGAGGAAAGAAGACAGGAAAAGAAAATAGAAAAGATGAAAAAAAGAGAAGAGATTTTTTTTTTTATTCTAACAAATGTGGGGAGACTCATGGATGCAAATCTACAAAAAGTTTCCAAAAACAAATCCACCCATCTGGATTTTTTATGAGTGGACCAGTTAATTTAAGTGGTGCCTATTTTTTTTTTTTTCTTTTCTTTTTGCTCAAACAGTAGAAAGCTGAGTAAACCTCAAAGGCATTAAGATTTCCCTAACATTGTGTAAAATATAGTGTTGGGATGTTTTGCATCAACCATATATAAAAAAAAAATTGTGAAAACTTACTTGAAGCCTGTTTGAGGAATTGCCTTCCAAATGGTTCTCCCCCTCTGGTAGAAGGGAAAGGTATTTTTGGCACATTTTTTGTACCTGCTTGTGGAGTGTTTCAAATTCCTTAAAAACATCAGCCATATGAGGTCGCGACGGTCGCCCTTTCTCAACCTTCATCAACAGAAACTCCCATACCGTGATAACAGTTGCCAGCCGAGGCAAGACAATTTCCATCAACTCTTCATCTTCACACTGTTTAATTAACTGGAAATAAAAGTAAAATATTTTAAAATAATTTTTGAGTTTTATAGACAAACAATCAAGCAGAATTTATAATAATCAGAGAACTATCATTACCTGGACTTTTTTTTATATTAATATCTTCAACTAGGTGTTATTTATTTTCAGCATATAAAAAAAAGGTAATAGTCGCTATTATCACAATTTCTCTTCAACATTACTATTTCTCAATTGAGTGTTTTTTTTAAATCTAGGATACTGTAAATTCATCAAGAAATGTGAAGTTCTCTTTCCAATGCTTGGTTGTTTGACCCCCCCCCATCCTCAATGATCATTAACTGTTTTTCCAAGAAGACATTTCAAATTTCGAAGCAGAAACAACTCTTAGCAGCCAGTCTAGTACAGTTCAGTGACACTGTTAAAAACATTTCATCATAGTGTTTCAAGCCAAAAAAATATATACTTACATCTTTTAACCTTGCTTTACGCTTTGCAGGTGTTTCGTGAAGATGGGTTAATTTTCGACCTCGTACAACATGATTAATGTTATTGGATGTGGTGCTTGTTGTAGTATTGGTGCTAATGGACACAGAACTTGGGACAGGGCTTGTATTAGTGACATTGTTACTCAAAGTTGTGACAGGGACTGAAGTAGATATGGTTGTGCTTTTTGGCACAGAAGGTAATCCCAGTATAGAATCTTGTGTATTGCTGTCTTCAGAAATGTTTCCACTGTTATTGAGACCATTTGTAGCTGATTGATGGAGAACTAAAAAGAAACAATGACAGAATAGATTTAGAGCAATAAAATTAATTAGTTTTACAAATGAACCAAACTAACCATAGAAAGTTCCAATGGTTTTATGAGCTTATTTTAGTTTAAAACTGAGTTAAAAAGAATTTATAGATTAATTATTATTTTGTTCTTAGTATTTTTATTATGAGATCACATAAATACTAGCTTTGGTACTCAAGTCACTTCCTATTAACAAAACTTATAATTATTTGCAAATGCTAATTATTACTAAGATTAATTAATATTATTATTAAAATATAGTCACTGGTATGCCATTATGGATGACAAGAGAAAAGTGCAAATTTGTCAAAAATGTTTCCAGGCTTAGTCCTATTTTCTTAAGAAAAAGAAAACCCACTCTGTAATTAGTAGTTAAGAGATGTGGATTTATCTTTCTTGAACAGAATATTTTGTTTGTTAATTTATTCATAATTAAATAAAATTTACTTAGAAACTGGTGGCTCAGTTGGATTGAAAATTAGCTTTATTCTTCAAGTTAGTGCAATGCTATTAAAATGCTCTAACAAAAATGATATTATATGCCATTCTTGATGTGTTATAGTAACAAACATACAGAAGTTAGATCATTATAATAGTAATGAACAACAGTTAAAATGAAGTAAACCAGAATCTGGTATAGAATGTCATATTTGAAAAATAAATTCAATAGAGTGTGCTTGCATTTAAAAACATTTTTCTAATGCTTGCCTTAAATATTTAAGGAAAGAAATCAGTATCTGTCTATATTTCCGAGATGAGGTATTATGTACACTATTTACATTATTCGGACTATTGTCCTCATGTTTGTCGCCATATTTATTATAACGTTTTGGCCATTGTACGCTCTGGCCTTCTTCAGGTGGTTGGAATGTCGAACTGAACCCTTTATTTTGCTCATAAATAAATCCAATTATAGGAACTAATATAGACTATCACTTGAACAAATAATGTTGCAGGAAACAAAAAAAAAAAAAAAAACATACAAAATTCTGATGTTACATTTAGAATAAAAAATAAAAATAGGATTAGTGAATAAATTCTCTGAAAATTATATTTGCAATTAATATCACTTTTAAATATAACAATGATGAACAAAACACAAATTAACCAATATCATTATTAAAATTCTTCCATTTTAGCACATTATCAAAAGGTGATGAAATTATTCAAAACGTACTTATAAAATACTCAGAGTTAGACATTTTTTTCTTATAGTAATTTATCAATTGAAAACAAAGAAAAAACACAAAAAGGTATTAACTTTACTATCATGAGCATATTATATCATTCTGAGAATATATAAATATTTGGCTTTAATATTTTCATTCTTGATAACCTTTCTCATGAAAAAAAAAAGTGTCTAGAATTTAGATTAATTAATAAAAAAATGACATATGACTGATGAAATTGAGTATATACTCCAACCAGAGGTCAATTTACCGGTTTTTGATAATAATCTCAGTAGGTAAGATAACCTACTAATATAATCCATGAAGCAGTTATAAGCTAAGATATGCTACTATTAAAATCCATGAAGCAGTTTTTCATAAAAACACGAATAAGTGAAGGGTGATAAAGTAAGCAAATTAGAATATATATATCGTCAACTGAACTTTTTGCTTGCCTTTTTTTTTTAAATAAAATTAACTAAAAAAACAAGTGAAAAAATTATACAATTTCTATCCTATCCTTATTATGGAAAGATTTTATTTAAGTACATCTCTAGTTCTCAAATTTCAAAGTTTATTGTAAACAAGAAAATTTTAGTACAAAATATAAACATGTAAAAATTTTATGAGTGATCAATGATAAGGCAAATTTCAAACACAAAAATGTCATGTTTTGGTTAAATAAAAGTTTGGTTTAACTTGTATCATTTACCTATCTACTTACATTTACTAATTCTCTTGAAAGATATTTCAATAAAAACAAATATAAATTACCTTGATTGCGAAGTTCAAACTCATCCTCAGCTGAGAGTTGCCCATGATCAGGATTTAGCCGATAATGTCGGGCCAAGCCTGCACGTCCAATATAAGCCTTTGAGCAAATTTCACACTTGAAATTTTTAGGTTTTGAGGATCCAAGACCTAAGGTGAACAAAAAAATCTTATAAACAATATTTATATCATAGTGCAAAATGATGAACTATGCTTGATTTATGAATTCAAACAAAATGAGAAATACAAAATAATCATTCTTACACTTTTTATATTGATTCAAAATTTATCAAAGTAAACTGTAAGATATTTTACTACTTGACTTTACAATGTGATATTAAGCAACACACAAAGCATTATTCATTTACATAATCACGTATAGATATACAATAGGATGATAGCATTTTTCAGTGTATCTAGTTTATAAGCAGTTAACAATTATGTTTTCTTATAAACTAAATTTAAAATAAAAAGGAGAATTTAAGAAATGATAAACATGGAAAATTTAGTCACTTGAATAGTTTTTATAAAGATTTTAAAAGACTTGATTGTGAATAGTTGGAATACAATATTCTTTATAAAGAAAATTAGTGCATAGAGCACTATTCTTAAATTAAACTATGATAAAAGTTAATCTGAAGCATGAAAATTAATAAGAACATTTCCATGTAGAATTATTCAAGGTGATGTAACAAATTTTTAAATAAAAAATAAAGTTTATTTTTAAATAAAAACTAGAGTAAAATTTAATGTTTTTGTATTCATTCATTTTTTTAAAACTTTTATATTTTAGCTTTTTTTTAAATTATTTTCAAAACATCTTAATGGTATTTTTATTATGCTACTAACAACTGTAAATGAAGTTAAAAAAGACATTTTGATTTTGGGACGATTTAATAATTTTTTCAAGTTGTTTTTCGTGATGCCTCTGGGATGAAAGTGAAAAATGTTAGTCTGGAGCCCTGGTTATCAGCACAGAAAATAAAATTGGGAAGCTTAGTTCAAATTCTAGTGTTGGGTTCACTTTGCACTAAATACACTTTGGAATTATTCCCCCTCAAGCTGTGGGGTAAAATAGCAAAGTAAACTGTGTTCATTTGATTTGGTCCACAACTAATCTATAAGAACAACTCTGAATTTGAACTAGTTAGACTTGATCCTAACAACTTCACTCAGTAAAACCATTTGCTACTGGTACAATGTTTTTATACTACAGTCCAGAATGTCCACAGGTATTACTTCTGAAAGTACATTCTTGAAAACTTACAGCTTCTTAGTAAAAACAAATTGATTTTTGATGAGATGGGCTAGATTATATATTCAAAACACACATAAATAAATGGAAAATAATTCAAAATTATAATTCACAGCACTTCTTTATTGTGTGCATGTGCAATCACACCAGCATAAGCAAACTCAGTCATAAAGGATGAAACGCATCACACGAAAATTTTTTCTCCACTTTGTCATAAATCTTTTCCCCAATCTTTATTTGTATAGAGATTTTTTCCTCATAATTTTATTTTTTTCTGACTGACTAGTGTACAATATATAACAAAAGCTTTCTTTCTCTATAGTTTATAACAATAAATGTTATTAAAAACACAACTCAAAAACAAATGATTCTGAAAGTATAAAACTTTGAACAACCAACAAAAAACATGAATTTCTGACAATTCAACACCGATATGAATTGTTTAGTTCTAAGAACCATTTCCTTTCATGCTGACGAATTTGTCAAGAAAATACAACTTTGTTAAAACAATTAATTTTCCGATATAATACACCTAATTTATTAAAATGGCTAATTCAGAAATCATCATAATCAACAGTTCCATAAAAGTATCTTGTAAGAATGTCTAATATTTAGTAACAACCTTATTGCTTAATGAATTGCCAGCTGAAACAGGAAAATAGGAGAGTGGTTATACAAACAAGAATTTAAAGATATTAAGGATTTTTTAACAAGTCATCACATTCAATAACATTTTGCACCAACAAAATTGGGAAATCACACTAAAATCTGAAAATATTGGAAATCTCTCAATCTTATTTCAGTCAGTTAAGTAATATACATGATATATGCTTGGGCGATATCTCTTTCAATTAATGACTGACGAGGCAAAAGATTTTCTGACAGTAGGTTTCCGCTTCTTTCTGCAGTAGGCTGGTTGTCAATCAAAGTTATAGAACACAGTCTGTCGCACTATTCAACCCGGGGAGGAGAAGAGATGGATTTATACCTTTCCTAAGGGTATTTGTGCATAAGTGAATGTAATGAACTCGACCAGAATTCGAACTTAGCTCAACAATTTCCCATTCCGAGCTAATATCCATTACAACAGCATTCACTATTTATATTTAGAGATTCTCAATATTTTGACATTTTTTAATGTGATTGTAGATTTTGTTGATACAAAAAAAGAAGAAAAAAAAAAAGATACTGAAGGTGATGATTTTTTTAAGTTAAAGGATGTGCAGGTAGCCTAACAGTTATCAGTGGGGAAAGTAGAATTGGCAAACAGAGTTCAAGTTTCAACCTAATCTTTTACATTCACTTTGCACCTTTAGGAAAGGCATGAGCCCATTTCTCCCCTCAATTACTGTTTAAATTGCAGGATAGACTCTAGCAGGGTAGGATACTCTAGTGTTGGTTGGCAACCAGTTTAGAAGGTCTATTTGGAATTTCAAACCATAGAGAAGGCAACAGGTAACCACTCCAACATCTTTCTTAAGAAATCATGCAAATCACAGATAACAAAAGAGAATTTGTGGCAAGACATAGCATAAAAAAAAAGAAACAACTACTTTGCATAATCACTATCCAATTTTTCTATCAATTCTATGAGCAATTCATTGAGTAGTAATCTTACTGCACTTGTCATCTGAAATTTTTAGATAAGGATATGGATAAACATAAAAATCAAAAAGTAAACATTATTTTATTATCTGTCAATAGTGTGATGATGGCTTCATTCATTTATAAGTATTTGTTATTTTTAACTGGCAAGCTTTAGTAAACAAATAGATACTGTTTAAAAAAAAAGATTGTGCATTTAATAACTCAGAATATGTACCAAAAATCAATTAGTTTTGCTTTCATTCCTTTCAAGATCTTCAAATCAAGATTAAACTTTTTCTATATTAATTAAATGAAATTTTTTAAACATATCTACTCTACTTTGCAGGTAGACAGGTAAAAATTAAATGAATAAAAGAACCAAGTACAATACTAATTGTCTGGTACTTTACATGATTTTTTCACAACTGAGGTGGATTTATTGATTGGCTGGTTTTCTATGGCTTATCAACCTTTTCTAGGTTGTTTAAAGCCAGAAAATAATTTTACATTGTATGAATTTTTTTTTAAATAATAATGATTTAGTGATACAAGTATTACTAATTAATCCATAACTGGGGGGGGAGAGAAAAGGTGGATTCATAGCTTTCCCAAGAGGATTTGCAAGTAAGTGAATATAAATCCAACTGAAATTGGAACTCTGCTCAACAATTTTGAGCCATTATTCATAATACCACCTGTACATCCAAGCTTACAGCAGCTGATATTCCCAGCTGAGTATGGTCATCCATCTAGATACTGACCATACTCAACATTGTTTACCTTCTGATCATATGTGAACTGGTATTTCAACATGACATGGCCATTAAGTCCAGCAAATGAGGTTATGAAAAAAATAAAGTCACTAACAAAGCCATCACTTATCTTTCCATTACCATTTATGATAGATTTTTAACTTTACAATAACTTTAACAAAAATTATTTTAAACCTTAGGTATCATAGTGAAGGTCATATATATATATATATATATATATATATATATATATATATATATATATATATGACAAATGGAAAATGTTTCAAGAAAATAGATTTGATTGAAAATCTATTTTCATAAAACATTTTCTATTTGTCAAATTTAAATACTTTGTTAGGATTCAGGATTCTTACAGATCTGTGTAAAAAAATTCCAAGACTTTTCTAGGACTATGTTAAGTTTCAGGGACTGAAACTGGTGCGTGCACACACACAAAGTAAATAGTGATCAATTTCAAAAACACAAACCCATGTGATTTATCTTTCAATAGATGGGATGGTCAAAGAAAAGCTACAGTTGGTTCCAATAATTCATGTCACATGGCTCAGTCAAAAGCAGTGAAGAAATCAAAGTATTGAAGGCTAAAACACAACAAATGCAGACCTGGCTATGCTACACATGTAACATTATAAGTTTAGGGTTCTACTACTACACTTGAAAATTTTGAATAACTTTAATTCTTAATGCTACACATTTCAGCTATCTAAACTACTCATGGTTTGTGAATATCACAAAAATTCTTGACTGCTGCACAATTAACAAAACAAATAGAAATTTTCACAAAAAGACTAGATATTTTAGCTACCCCTACTACTCATGGCTTTCATTGCACACGGCACTGAACATAATGATGTTAACATTTTTTTTCAGTTAATCTAATTTAGCATTCAGCTCCTCTTCCAATTTTGATATCTCTATGGATTTCTTTGTAGGTCTTTGCATGACATTGGACTTTGCAATAAGCAGGAAGTTCTGAGTCTGTTCAGCTTTCTCTGCATACATGTCAGCTGACTTGAGCAAATCTTGTGCGCAACTTTCAAGCTTATATTTTTTGTCTTCAGATCTATAAGCATGGATTTCCGGTTTTGCTCAGCTGCTTCTTCCTGTTTTTTTCCCTCTGAGCCTCAAGGTATTGGTTGTATACTGTTCTGGCATTGGAAGCACTGCCTTAGTCATGTTAACATTCTCAGCACCCCCAATTGTGGCTAAGTAGTCCATGAATATGTACTATGCAACCAGAGTCTGCTGTTTTATATTGTCAGTGGAAAATTTCCTTATTGACTGAGAAACCTCTCTCTACTGAGACCTGTCCATGAGAGAGTAACAGGAATTTGTAAACAATTTTCTAGTTCTCGATATTCTTTGATGCGATCACAATCAAACTTGCTGACTAGTTTTCTGCCCATCATGTGAGAAAGATCTTTTTAAACTGTCTTCAATTTCAATTTATTTTTTCATGAATGGATCCAACGTTCAGTCATGCAAGTGACCTTCCAAGAGGATATCTAAAGGAAGACTTTGCCAGAAGTTTCTCAAAGGTGATGAACATTGTCTCTGTTGCAATTCTGCATGCAAACATCTTTTGTTGACACATTTCCTTTTTTGGATAAATTTTGCATAGCTCTATCTGCCATATTTTTGCAGCATCTTCATGTATGTTTGGAGCTAACAAAATTATTACAAATTCATTTGGTTTGGACATGCTAAAAAGATCATCTGCAAGGAAAGGAAACAAAGGGTTATTGCTCTGATATTTTATCAGAAACAAGTCAATGTCTTTCAAAAC